CTTTAGCTGTATCCCATAGTTTACTTTTTAAAACTTACTTTCTTGTTGCTTTCTAATTTTGTTGCGTTATTATCAGATCACGTGGTTTGTAGAACGTCAACACTCGGAACCATGGTGAGATTTCCCTGTAGACTGCTGTGGGGTCATTTTTAAAAGTAACCAATGTGATAGAAACAAACCTATATTCTCATTTTAGTAACTTAAGTATACAGTTGACCCGTGGACAGTGTAGGGGTTAGGGATGTCAACTGCCCCACGTGGTCAAAAATCCACATGTAACTTTTAACTTCCCCCAAAATGTAACTATTAATGACCTACTATTTACCAAGAAGCTTTACCAATATCATAAACAGTTGATTAACACATATTTTAAAATAAGCTACAGGAAAGAAAATGTTATTAAGAAAATCATAAGGAAGAGAAAATACATTTATAATACTGTACTAGATTGTGCTGAAAAAAAAAATCCACGAATAAGTGGACCCTCACAGTTCAAATCTGTGTTGTTCAGGCATTGACTGTATGTTTGAATTGTAGCTCTGTGATATGTTCACTGTATGATCTTAGGGAACTTATGTATTCTCTCTTGCCTCAGTTTCATCACCTTTAAAATGGGATGATACTGCCCATCTCATAGTTGAGGGCCTGGCAACATGTAGTACCATGTAAATGTTAGCACTGATTAGTATTTCTTTTTTAGCTATTATGTTTGGGTTACTAACTTTGTTGTTCAAATATTCTATATCCTAGCTCATTTTGTCTACTTAATATATCAGTTTCTGAGAGATGGTTATTAGATTCTCCCATTACAGTTACAAATTTGCCCATTTCTCCATACGGTTCTGAAAATTTTGCCTTATGTTTTCAGGTTTGATTGTTAGATGCCTACAGGTTCATTATTAGAGAGTTTTAGTGAACAATTCTTTTTACCAGGATAGATACCATGTTGAATTTAGCCAGTTCATGTTTATCATGCTTACTGATACCATTAAGATTATTTCTGTCAATTTATTTTGTGCTTTCTATTTATCAACATTTCCTGATAACCTTCAGTTTTCCTTTAGAAACTTGGACTAATTAACTTTATCATTATTTATGTACTTATATTGTAGTATTATACTATTCTGATTTATTGTTGCTATTCCACATTTACTGTGTAATTTTCCTTGGATTATATCGAACATGTATTTATAACAGGTGTCTCAAAAAGCTGTTTTGCTTAGACTGTGATATTAGCTCCTGGCCTTTGTAGGAATTAGATATCCAAGATCCTTTTAATGCCCCAGATACCTCATAGCGGGAGGTGAAGGTGGGTCTTTTGGCTTACAGTCCACATGGAGGTTGTAAGCTGGTCAATGACAACATTTTTGAAAGTGCACAGCCAGGAACCAAACTCACCGGGCCCTGCAACTAATGGCATGTCAGCCAGCTGGAATTTAGTATCCCGTTACACACAATAAAGAAAAAAGATTCAGGCAAAGGAAAATGGCCATGCAGAATGTTCTCAGTTATTGGCTGTGGGATTTATAACATTTTAAAAACTGTATATGGGATTACTTTTACCTTCTAGGATGGGAGACAGAGAACACTCCTATAACTAACGCAAAGCAGAAAAACTATTTTCTGTTTTATTTATTGCCGTGTCTCTGGAATAGTGTTCGTCACCTAGTAAATGACTCATAAATATCTGTGAGCAATTTACAGTAGCAAAAAAGAAAAAAATTGTTATGGGAACTTCAAGAGCAGAGGGTATAATTGCAGCAAAAGAGATTGTGAAGGCTTCATGGAGGCAGTGGCTGTTGAGTGGGGCTTTGGAAGGATAAGCATGATCTAGAGATTAAAGAAACAGAGTACTAGAAGTGATAGAAAATATGGGATTCATTTTGGGAAACAACATGGCATGACTGTGGGAGACATTCCATATTCGACTGTTGCATCTGTGCCCGGTGTTGGGCTTAAAGAGGGCCTACAGCAGGGCGGGCAGTCAGAAGGACAGAAGGACAGATGGGGAATGGGGAAGACCAAGGACGAATACAGCCCAGGAGGCTGAGCTGAAATGGTATCAGTTTCTGAGGCCGATGAGCCTCCAGCTCTGATGATTTTGGTGACCTGTAGGAGAATCCGGCATCCTTCATCATAGGGCTAAACATGCCCTGGGCCCAGGGTGTGAGAAGCCTATGGAGGGTCTGGTGAGAAGTAGAGGAGCCGAGAGCCCCGAGCAGCCCAGGCCAACCAGCCAAGCCAGCAGATCAGCGACAACGTGCACCTACATCAAGCATCCAAGCATGAAAAGAAGCAGGCTGCTCCTTCACACCCATATTCCAGGTCTTAAGCAAAGTCACATGGCCCAGAATTATGCAGGGAAGGAAAACCTGGAAAAGGTAGTTTTGGCTTAGCTAAGGACCCAGACAGGGTTTCGAAAGTTTGGGTGTGGGAGGCAGAGGGAACTCTTACTCTCCAATGGGCCACCACCTCCGGGCACCCCTGAACACGCCCACCCAGGTAGAGATGGGCAGGGGTTCCCTGAGGGCCACTTCCACCCTGATTCTCTGGAAATGAAGGGTCCAGGATCGTATGGCATCTGCTATGTTTAGAGGAAACACAAATGATTCGAACAGAACTTGGAACTTAAGAATCATAAAGGCACAAAGGGCCCCTGAGTAGCGCTGGAAAACACCCGAACTCTGGGCCATGGGATGTAGTGGGAGTGTGGGGCAGGTGTGGAAGAAAATGGCCCTCCTGCTATCCTCTAGTGGCCCATGATTTGTTTCGGTTTATTCATATAGTGTGTACTGAATGTTCTCCATGTGCCACACACTGTTCCAGGAACCAAGGAAAGGAGCGTGAACAGAGCAGAGTCCCTGCCGCCCTGGAGCTTACCTTCCAGAAAGGGAAACCGAAGAAAAAAGTAGACAAGTAATTAACATGAGGCCATGATTTGCACTTTGAGGAAGTTATAGAGCAAGGTGGGAGACAGAAAGGGAGAGGGGGTGGTATTTTAGAGAAGGTGATCAGAGAACAATAATCTTGGGAAATCTTAATTTGAGTATTCATTCTATTTCAAGGACTTTACATTTATTGGTTTATTTAATCCTCATGACAACCTAAATAGTTTTTCTATTTAGTATTAGATATTAGATAGTATTACTATCATTAGTAACACAGAGAACTGGGATTTAAACATAGGTATCTGGTACCAGAGCCCAGAATTTAAACCAGGGAAAGTCTCTCTGTTGTGGTGAGTGAAGTGAAGGAGCAAGGCATGCCAATATCTTAGGAAAGAGCATTGTGGGTGGTGGAACAGTCTGTGCAAATGCCCTGAGGCAAGTGCATGCTTGTTGTTTAGGGAGGATGAGACCAAGAGTTCAGATTGGGACATGCTGCAGTTTGAGAATCTTGTTAAGCATCCGAGAATATCTAGGATATCTCTTGGAGATAAGCATCCAAGAGATATCTGGAGGACAACTGGATATCCAAGTCCAGACTTCAGGGGAAAGCTTGGAAATAGATTAAATTTCTTTGTCATCAGTATTCTTGGAATTAGATGAGATTCTGGGGAGTGAGAGAGAGAAGTCCAAGGACTAAGGTGTGGAGCAGAAGAGCAGGTGGCTTGAGCAGAAGAGACTAAGAAGGAGCAGCTGGCAAGGGAGGAGGACAGAGGGCCGCATGCAGAAGGGAGTGACCAGATATTTCCAGTTCTGCAGCGACTGGAAATGGCCCAAGGAGTGGCCATTGAGTTTGGCAGCACAGAGGTCATCATTGGCCTTGACATTGGTGACTTTTAAACACTTTTTTAATGTTTATTTATTTTTGAGAGAGAAAGAGAGACAGAGCGTGAGTGGGGGAGGGGCGGCGAGAGAGGGAGACACAGAATCCGAAGCAGGCTCCAGGCTCCAAGCTGTCAGCACAGAGCCCGACGCGGGGCTTGAACCCACAGGCCTTGAGATCATGACTTGAGCCAAAGTCGAACACTTAACCGACTGAGCCACCCAGGCGCCCTGACATTAGCGACCTTTGATAGACATTGCAGTACCTGGAAATACAACCAAAGCAATTTCATGTCAGGTTGAGAGGGAATGGGAGCCCCAGGCCCCATCCTCCAGCCTCTGTTCTGCCCCTTGCAAACCCTGAGGGTCCCAGGGACATGTCCCAGGGTCTCTGGAGCACAAGCTGAAAACCACAGATGTAAGCAACCTGTTTGTTTCACAGCTGATGAAGCTTTTGTCCAGAAAAGGGAGAAGGAGGCTGGCTCAAGGCCATACAAGTAGTTAGCGGAACCCCAGGTTACAATTTATCATTATTTAATGAGATTTGCCCATAAAGAAATCTGTTCCTAGCTTGTCTTATAATAGTGTGTTCCATAGACAGTGGTTACTATGACAAATAGAAAAATCAAAATAAAAAAGTCTTTTTCACCTTTTATCTCTTTGGAAAGGGGAGAATGCTAACACGAACAAATTAGATTCACAGAAAATTCTGAGGCCTCAGTGATCATTCCTGGTTTCCACATTCTCCTCCTACCACACCTTATGTCTCAACACGTACGGTCATTCAGAGAGTCCCATGTTCTCCGATCCTATGTAATGAGATGTCACAGGCTTCCACCTTAAAACAGGTATCATAATAATAGCAGTTGTTCACACTAATCAGTAAGCTTTGCTGGCAGTGTTCTCTGATCCCCACAGCAGCCCCAGGGTCAGACTGCCTGATTGTATGTCCCATTTCTGCCACTCACTGATGGTGGGACCCTGGACAGGTTACTGATTGTCTCTGAGCTTAAGTTTCATCAGCTATGTGAAATGCTTGGTCAGCTGAAAGACAGGACAAGGGGACAAGGGCTGCTGCTAAACCAGGCACTGTGCTGGGCACTGAATCAAACCAGGCTGTGCACCGATCGTGGATCGCTGGGGGTCCTTTCTCCTCCACTCTCTGGTTTGATAAGCCACAGGCTGAATCAGGAAAGTGTACTTAGTCTCATCTTGCAACTGTTTTTGCCTTAGGATCCATGCTCGAAGCTGAATAAACCTCAGACCCCACCCAAAGGAGAAGAGTACCAGGATAAGTTAGCAGCTGAAGAAGGAACCAGCAGTGATGAAGAAGAAAGGTACAGGAGGCCATACAGGCTTGCAAGTGCTCCAATGAATGAGAACTCAGATTTGGAAGGACTCATTCATTCATCCATCCATTCATTCATTCCTCAAGTATTTATCACTGCCCTTTACATCATGTCCTCAGTGCAGCTTTGGGTTTTACACAGTTTATCTTATTTAATTGTTATACCAACCTGGAGAGTCCATTCTATATATTAAGAATCTGAGACTCAAAGAGGTTAGTAAGCCTGTCTAAAACTCAGACCTGGACTAGCCTCAAACCTCTATTCCTTATTCTTCCAAGTTTTTTTAAACTAGGGGAGATATGGGGACTCTGTCACTGATGGGAAACCCCCATCTCTATCACCTATATTAGTCAGCTTTAGCTGCTGTAACAAACATCCCCAAAATATCAGTGATTTTTAACTCATAGGTCAGCTATGTATAATCTTGGCTCCTGGCTGAGGGTCCCATGTTATTGCCTGTCCCAAACCTTGGGTAGAGTTCAAGTCTCATCCACATGCTTTGTCATTCTGGGACTGAGACTGAAATATTAGCCCCTATCTAGGGCATGTTGTTGTCATGGTAAAGGGAAGAATCTCAAAACAGCTGATGAAAATATGCAGTGGCTTTTAAAGCCTACACTCAGAACTGCATTCTCTCATTTCTATTCGTATTCCACTGGCCAAAGCAAGTCACATGACCCAAACTATCACTGGACAGAGAATATGCTGTCCATATGACTTATAGTCAGCTCTGGCTGCTATAACAAAACACCACAGATCGGGTGGCCTAAACAACAGAAATTTGTCTCTCATAGTTCTGGAGGCTGGGAAGTCCAAGGTCAAGGTGCTGGTCCTGGAGAACTCTGCTCTGGCTTGCAGGTGGCCATTTTCTTTCTGTGTCCTCACATGGTGAGCAAGGTTGAGGAAGGGGGGTTAGAGGAGAGAGAGGGTGGGAGAGGAGAGGTCTCTCTCATGTCTTTTGTTTTAAGGGCATTAATCTCACCACGACCAGCTCCACCCTCATGACCTAATCACCTTCCAAACCCCCATCTCCTGACACCATCACATTGGGCAATAGGTTTCAACATATGAATGGGGGGGGGGGCATAAACATTCAGATCATAGCCTTGGGAAAGCAGAGTCTACACCCCTAAATCAGACCGATGGCAGTGTCAGGTGGTGTAGAGCCCAGTGAACTCCCAGCTACCAGTATTTCACAGAATCCTCCAGATTCTGCCTCAGGATCTATGAGGCACAGAAGAACAGTAGTTAAGGATGACAGACTAGAGCCAGGTCTCCAGGTTAAGTCCTGGTACTTCTGCATTACCATTGGCAGCCACAGACCTTGTCCTGTTTAGAACTCATAATTCCAGAGGGAAAGATAAAGCCTTTTTCTTAAAAATACTGACAGAAACTTCAAAGAAGTCTCTAAGTTGCCCAGCTTGGGTCACATGTTGATGCCTGAGCCAAGCTGTCTGGCCTGGCCTTTGTCACCTGCCCTCCCCTGGGCCCATCTGGGGATGAGGGCAGAGTGAGCTGCACCTGAACCCTGTGGACTAAGAAGAATCACGGGAAAAGAGGAAAAGCTTTCCCCAGGGAGAGGATGCTGGGGCAGCCTTGTCTTTTTCTCCCGTGGTGGCTATACTGGTAAGGGCTGTCCTCAATTACAGAAGCAAAACGGAGGTGGGGGCTCTGAAGGTCATTCCCACAGGGCTGTTGGTGGGAACAGAAGAGCTAAACAGTGATAAGATAGGAACAGAATGGTTGCCTGAGAGCTAAGATCAGGAGCTGCAGGAAGGGGCGAGGTTGCATATTCAGTAGTTGCCCTCATGGGGAATGCTTGTCAGGAAACCGGGCTTTTTGGAATGGTGGCTCTAAGAGGGAAGTGGCTTTTCCATTGGCTTAAGGTCATCGTCAGAAGAGCAGGTTAGGATCAGCTTTAATGGGCAGGGACAGGGACGTCAGGAGAGCCAGTTCGCTTGGTGATGGCTGGATGGAAGTGGCTCCTTAGGAGGTGAGGGAAGTTGAGGCAGTAGAATGAGGTCAGAAAGGGACTTTCCATGAGTGGTGTTCCAGGGAATAATGATGGTGATGAAAATAATAATAAATATTTACTGAATGTTGGCATATGACGTGTGTGTAACATGTTGGCACATTGAAAGGATTAACCCATTTAGGGGCGCCTGGGTTGCTCAGTCGGTCACACCTCCAACTTCGGCTTAGGTCATGATCTCACAGTTTGTGGGTTTAAGCCCCACGTCGGGTTCTCGTCTGTCAACGCAGAGCCTTGGAGCCCGCTGTGGACCCTCTGTCCCCTTCTCTCTCTGCCACTCCCCCCTCACGTTCTCTCTCTCTCTCTCTCTCTCTCTCTCAAAAATAAATACTTAAAAAAGGATTAACCCATCTAATTATTATGTAAATACTATTTTTGAAGTACCTCACTTGAAAGATGAGGAAAATAGAGGAAAGGGAGGTAACTTAACAGGGAGGTTATTGTCTCCCAAGGTAGACAGTAGGATTGGATGAGTGTCTCTGACTTCAGAATCACGGTTTTAGCCACATCTCAATTTAGGGCAGCTAAATTGAGTGTGTGTAAAACCAAGAGCCACAGGCCTTCCACCTCTCCAGGGTCACTTGATTCACTGATAGTCAGTAATAAGAACTGAAACTTCCACTTCCAGCCATGGGCTTCCAGTCTGGTACTAGTTACTCTTTCTGGAAACAGCTATAGAACTGGAGAAAACAGGGGCCCCTGGCTGGCTCAGTCGGTTGAGCATCTGACTTCAGCTCAGGTCATGATCTCACGGCTCAAGGGTTCAAGCCCTGCGTCGGGCTCTGTGCTGACAGCTCAGAGCCTGGAGTCTGCTTTGGATTCTGTGTCTCCCTCTCTCTCTGCCCTTCCCCTGCTCAGGCTCTGTCTCTCGCTCTCAAAAATAAATAAACGTTAGAAAAAAAATTTTTTTTTAACTGGAGAAAACATGAATGCATGC